AGAGCAAGGAGGGGCATCCGATGGGCGGAGGATGGAGGCCATCATTGCTAGCTGTCCAAAGTATAAACGGCGTAAGAAGAAAGGTAGCCAGTACCTTGTGAAATGTGAAGGAGAACCGCTTCATAGGGCATCATGGCTAATGGACAAAGATCTTTGGCGACGCCAAGGCGAGGTGCGCGCATATGTGTCGATGCTTTATGCCGAGGGTGGCACAAAATTGGGTGGGGGAGAGTGTCATGACCCGCCACACCATCATGCCACATAGGTGCCACTTGGCATATATTTTTGCCATATGGAATGGTTACATACGTTAGGGACTAGATCTTGGTGGAATATTGTAGAACTATGGAGAATTTTCTTGGAAATGTTCTAGATATTTATGCACGTGTAGGAAGGTTGTAGAGAAATATAGAGGTTTTCTTAGGAAGACCCTAGAACCCTATAGAATTGTTAGGAAAGTCCTTAGAAGATTCTAGCTATGTAGAATATTCTAGAGTAGGACTTATTTGTAAATACAGAAGGACTTGTAGAACAATTATTATTTACATACTAGCCCCTAGGTGATTAGTATAAATAGGGGGCATTCATTTGTAATTCATCAATCAAGCAAACAATTCAAGTTCTCTCTAATACAAAGCTTCTTTTAACAATTCTCTTGTGTTCTTTCTTCCATTCTCTTAGCGATCTTCAGTGTAGTAAGACTGACTTGACAAAGCAAGAACGTGAGCAAGTTGTGCAAGATCGTGAGCGAGTTGTCAAGTGCCGCACGTGTACTTAGTTAACAACTAAGGACGTGACATTGGTCTATGCTATTGATATATTTGGCTTGCATATTTGACTGCAAGTGATATTTTATTTGTGTATAATTGAGGTTTCTGGCAAAATATGCAGATCTATTAGCTATTGGAGTTTGTCATTCTTTGAACTGTTCTATGTGATTTTGTGCCTGAATGAGAGTACTTTCCTTTTGTTCCGGTGAATAGGGACCGTTAGTTGTATGCTTTGGATATTCACCTATTTCCTTTCACATGCAGTTGATATGATGAAGCCCGATGCCACTGTGATTCTGCGTAATGCAAAGATAGACATGTTCAAGGGTTCAATGCGACTTGCAGTAGACAAATGGGGTCGTGTTGAGGTTGCTGAACCAGCTGATTTTGGTGTTAACGAGGAGAACAACCTCTCTTTGGTCGAGTATGAGCTGGTGAACGTAGAAGAGTAGACAGCTCTTTAGAAATGAAAGATTGAAGTTACAGCCAGAAAATTGCTTCAAATCTGAAATTATTGCTATGCATCTCTTCAATCACATGGAATTAATGAGCAATAGTGCCAGTACTTCGTAACTCATGATCTATTGCCATCAACCTCATATTATAGTGTTGCTTTATTCACTTGGTTATAGCGTGGGGTTTTTACTTTCCAGTCATTTCCTGTGTTGTAAGAGGTAAAAACCAGTTCCTAAGATTGACAGTTGATGCCTTTGTATTTCGTATTTTGTATTACCATAACCGATGCTACCTAACACAATATAAAAGAAGCTGACTGTTGTGCAGCAAAACCACCACCAAATGTATCAAACTTCGTTTCAGTGTTTAGTAGGTACTCGTTATAAATGTAAGTTACGTAATACATTTCTAAAATTTTCCTCCACCAACTGCTTCTCTTCGTAATCCTATTATTGTTGATTTCAGCTGTGGTTGAATTAGAACGATGTGGGTTATTAACAAACTTTTAGAATTGCAATATGCATAATGCCAATGTTGTACGACTCCCTGAGCTAATCGTTAAATCCTCATATCCACATAATAATTCAACGATCAAACATTTATTACTGAGTGAGAAAACAACGCGACTGTTGTGATGGAAGCACAACTTTTAGCCACAAAATTGGCTGAAAATTTATTTACAACGACTCGAGACCCAATTAAGATGACAAATAAACCTTGCAAATAGCTACTTCAATGGCAAGTCTGAATGATAGCGTAGCTTCAACCCCCTGAGGACAGGTAACCGATCATGTGTCATTATCGCAAACTGATTGATTAACAAGAAGTTAGTGTTACAGTAAAGCTCAACTACTTTAGAAACATCAATAGCAAAGTTACAACGAGAAAGGGACAATTACCATCAATAACAAAGATATATAAAGAGAGGCACACATCAGCAATGTAATTCTGTATCAAATTATTACTACAAGTGTTGATCTCCAAGACACGGATGTTTATAGTATTCGAAAACGATAAGGTCTATCTAGCACTTCTAAGTTTAACAATTAAAAAAATCCAGCCGCGCTCTTTGGTGACTCATTATAACCTCTTTACTTAGCACCGCATTGTGAGAAAGTACAAACGTAAATTTAGCTCCAGCTCTCCGAAAATCATCACACATCTTCATTTTGAGCTGATTGAATAAAGATAAATAGTAAGCACCAATTCTATCAAGTGTAGTCTAGGAAAACATCCTGATTTAACAATATCTACCGAGGCATCCAAACAAAGAAAACATGATAGTGCTTGTCAAGTTATTAAATCCAATTAATACTTTTGTGAGGGGCATCCATGAACAAGAGCCAGAAATGCACAAGAATATGAAATAAATATCTCAGTGCAAATAATCATCAGCCAAATCTTTTTGTGATGGGATATTCATCAGCAAAAATCTACAGAATATGCGGTCATTATACACCCCTAACAACCATCATAGTTTATTTCTAATCCAGCAGAAGTACTCAACAAATTTTATGCAAGTAGCAATTTCTAAACTGAAAGCTTCCAAATATAAATGAACCCAAATCAGTCCTCTAAGCTTCTCCTTCTTCATCTAGTCTTGTCAACGCCTACAACAGGAAGAATGAAGCATCCAGCACTCAATCAAAGTGATAGAAATAGGAATTGGGAAATATATGGGCAACACTCAAATGAAGAGAATGCAAGAGACTAATGGCAATTACTTAGCATAATGCTGCCTTTGAGATCACTAAACTCTTTCAGGGCAATGAAATTGTTTCAAGGGTATTTTCTCCACTGTATCAGGAGGAAAAAGGAGGTTCCATATATCATGCTCTGTAGTCAAAATTTCTTTTCCAAAAAATTTCATATTTCAAAACTATAAATTAGAAGGTCCCTGTTAAAATTCGGATATGTCCAAGACACTAAAGAGAAAAACTTAATTGACTTACCAAAATCGTAAATGAGGGGAAGGACATCAAACGAGGGTCCTATAGGTCTTGCTAGATACCTATATCAAAAAATAAAAACTCGTTGGTCAGACAAATATTCAAAAAATGGATATATGGAAACTACAAAATCTCACCAAATGGAGGTTTATAAAAAAGAAAGGAAAAGAGAACTAGATAGAGATCAAGAGGAGAAAGTATATCCAATGATGTTATTACATGGTAGGACACTCCATCTCATTTGGCTAATTTATTCGGGTGGAAAAGAATGACTTCAAGTCTAGTTTAAGTTGAATCATGGCCGAGACTAAAGGTTGTTACCAGCAGAGGTAGTAGTCAACTAGATCATAGTTTCAACAATCTTGAAATCATGAAGGATTCACCCAGTACTGGATGTTTCGATGAATAAGAGAGCTACAATTCCTCCTGGACTAAAACTTAAAACTATCATACGAACACCTTCAGCTAATTACTAGATTGACACTTTTAGCTAATTATGACAGGGAGATATCCGTATATCTGTGCTGCTCTCAAATTAACACCACTCCCTTCCCCAGCAATGACAAAATTGAAAGAGCATTTATAGAGGGAACTGAAGATCAAAAACTTGAAGCCAGAAGTATGGATAGATTCTGTCCTTTCAGAACCATTTGTCATAAATATTGATCATTGTAACTACAGCGAATCAGATAACTACATCCTTGTTCCCTGACCCCCTCATGAGAGGGAAAAGAAGTTCCCCGTTTTGAATTTCTGCCTTCATTAATTTTCCTTAGTGACTGCTATGCGGTTCCGCAAAGCATGGCCGATCTAAACCCAAATAAAAGTGAATTCTGGTAAAATGACTTGCATAATAATGGTCAGAGTTCAAAACCCAAATAAAAGAGAAATGTGGTAAGATGACTAGCGTGATCATAAGTTCGGCCCCGAGAGATTTGGTCTAGTGGTAAGACCGAAACACGTGATGTGTGGGTTCTGCACATGTCACAGGTTTGAACCATTTCTGATAAAAGTCTGATATATAAGTGGAGAAGGGTAGAGGGAAGGCCCATTATTTCAAACCGTGCGCCACTTGCCTCGGGATTTCTCAATTATCAAAGAAAAAGAATAGTCTGACTACTATGAATTTACTCAATATTGATCCTGTAAACTGAGCAGATTGAAAATGAAGAATTCGCAACACTGATTTGGAATTAAATTATAGTTAACTGATTCTATATACTCTGATCTGCATGAGCTAATAACTAACTCCACACGAAACCATTGCATAATTCTCAGACATTTTCATGAGACAAATCACAATTAAAGAGGCCGTAATTCAAATAACACATATTCCAAAGCTGATTCACTTAACAAATAAAATCGCACATTGCACAATCAGCTCTAATTAGGTCAACTAAATGCAGCAAGGCACCAACAGAAATTTAACTAATCAATAACAGAGCTCTACCTAATCCATGTGAAAATCAGCAAAGTTATGAGGCGACATAAAAATAGAGTACAAAATTACCTTCTGAAAGCCAACTGTAACTACGGAGAGAGTCAGTAAGCATGGAAGTCATCAAAGCCGAAGCAGTAGCAGTGTGGTATGGTTGCAGTGACTCCACGCAAGCGCTCAACTCAGCAGGACATCTTCAAATTCGTAATTTATTCAGTCAGATCGATTAATTTTTAAAAAAAAAATTGTATTATTCTAGAAACTTCTAGTAAAGCAAGCACAAAAGAGTACCTAAAGATGCGATTAGAAAGAGGAGTTCTAGAAGCCTTGCGAAATGGAGGTCGAGCTGCTTTAGCCTCCGACGCTATCCTTGAGGCGGCATTGCGCAAGTACGGTGACCGGAAAATGGATCTAGCGGCGGCGAAGGCCATCGGGTTGGGAGAATCGTTCAGAATGTTTCCAAATGGAAAAGATTTTTCTGTGGAAATGAGATTAGAGGGTTCTGGGCTAAAACCCTAGGGGAATGCTTGGCTTGGATTTATTTTATTTTGATTTATTCTATTTAAATTTCTTAAGAGCCCTTTTTCCGAGGAAATGAGTAATATAGTTCCTTACAATTCTAATACTTGGATTAGAATTAATCTACGTAAGTTAATCTAAGTAGACTCGGGAATGAGATTATTTTTGAGGTCATAAGCTTTATGCTATTTATAACAGGTGATAAGTAAGTGTCGTGAAGGTTAGAGGGTAAATATATCAAAGAAGATGAGTTTCGTTGAAAGTTGTCAATTTGGGATAAAATACGGTCCGAGTTATAATACCCGGTATTTATCGACTAGTGTCATACAAGGTACCACATGACCATGATAGTAAGGTGTATAAAATGTATTAAAAGTGATTAGTATTTTAAGTAATTTGAGATAATTCTTAATTATATGGATAATTGGGTAATTATGAATTTTTAGTGGAAGATTAACTAAGTAATTAAGTTAATTAAGAAATTGGTGGTTAATTATTTGGGTGGATAAGCATTAACGTTGCACCAAGTAGGGATTCAATATTGACTAGGCAAGTCTTGGAGGTAGGTGGCAAGATTAGATAATTCTTTGGTCAAGTATTCCTAGAAGTGGGGCCCACTCACTTTGATAAAGAAATAACCTCCCTACATCATTAAATGGAAATGGAAATGCTTGCTAAAGTTACGGATGGGAATTGTGATGATCCGCCATGTTATCATGTCACATAGGCGCCATTTGGCATATATTAATGTCATGTGGAAGCTTACATAAGAAGAAGCTAGCATTTGTGAGATGATTCTAGAGAGGTATGAGCATTTCCTTAGGAAGAACCTAGATCCTTATGGATTTGCTAGGAAAATCCTTGGAATCTTATAG